ACACTTCTTTTGAAAACTTCGTTCCTTTAAGTAGAATGACGATTACACTGGGTCAAATATCCTTGATTCACGCGTCGTCTCACTTAAAGAACATCTAAATGATTAACGTCTAAATGGCCAATTTGCCTATCTAGTTAACTGTTATACAGTTTATTATGCTTTGAAATCGTTGAGTGGGTGAAATTATTAGAATTATTTGATTGCTTCACAGATCAATGATTTCTTGCGCTAATGTGAATATTTGTCAGATGACGTGATTGGAGAATGCGGTAACTGCAATCCACAGTTGTATAACTAAAGCTTATCAGTGAAGCACCAAGTGTTAATAAACTAATATTTTATGGGATAAAAAATGACGCAACAATGATCGATTCTGATTCAGCAATAGTTACTGATTCAGCCATCGTGTAGGACAACACACTGAAGCACAAAGACGCCCTMGGGCTTCCATCATTGTTATCAATGCATACACTACTGAGATCTCTAATTTTATACGAAAATAAAAATAGCGGAATCTACTTTGACATCTTGGATGCGTGGACTTATAACTCGTGATGACTCCATTTTCTTCTGCACCTTACGTGCATGACTGGAATGCGTTCAAATAACTTGYCAGTGCATATTCGTCAGTTGCTTTCGATCACAAGCCGTACCAACCTATCAACCGCTTTATTCCGCATGTAAGTACTATTGATTTAACTTAACTTTCTCGTCTCGCTGTAGACACAATGTTAGCTTTTGTTACTAGAGATAGTAGAGTTTCTAGTCGGAATSTCAAAGACATATCACAGATATCTTGAGGAAATCAGTATTGGTGGCTCGGTTACTTCCAAAAGTCCGACACCGAAGTGATTCACAAACGCTCAGTGATGTGAAGCGAAGCAAAGAAGAGCAGTCAAAATGTCTGAACAACGTACCCGTAGCTTCTGGCAAAAAGATSCACCATCACTGTAATATCACAATAGACCAAGTCTCACTTAATACTGATAACATATATCAATAGCATTCAGTAGTGATATGAGTCACTTTCATCATGTATGTCACTAGAGAAAAGGGGTATGAAATCAGTGCTACGTTTTAATGTTCACTGCAAGGCGACAACTGTGCAGTTGTAATGAGTAAAGGAGTCAGACCTGATGATAAACCATGTCCAATTGCAAGATAATAATAAAAGTGCATCACTACATCATGATGGTCATCATTGYTCATTRYAGGAATCCAAACCGCGAAAGACTGGGTTTGACTCACTCCTCCCTTGGCATGATGGTAGCATTTAAACTCGTCATTAGTGATATATTAATATATACTGGCTTCTATTCAGCGACAGTTTTGTCATACTTGTMCAGCTTTCTTTTAGATCAATCACTGCTTTACCCTGATTGATCGTATCTGGAATACTCGACACTGGAATACATGAACCTGGCTAATCCTGGACAGTATGCATGGCAATATAAACAAAGTCAAGTTTACGAATACAAATGYTCTCCCGTGCAATGATTATGACCATTTAGTTATTATTTGTGGGTAAAGAAAGGAAACAATAGATTCATAGTGTAATTCCAACTAATAGTCTTACTAATCTTTCACAGTCAAATATGCGGTGGCAATCATGGAATACATCTAAGGCGAGGTCATAACTAGTGCTAGTACCACACTCAAGACTGGTCTCCCTCAGTTAACCCTATACAATTTGTCTAGATCAGTTCAAATAGTGCGATACGATAGCGCGATTTTTTTCCCTGGCCGTTACACGACTACAAAACACAACACTGTATAAAAATATCTTTCAAACCAAAAATAAAGCAAAAATATCAGCTTTGCTAGACACCRTCTACTTTGTAGATCTTTCAGTTTTATCCTCGAACAAATGGCATCCGTGCCCTCTCCTTGCAGGATCTTTTGAGCACTCTTGGCTGACTAGAGAGTGAACGTCTGAATTCTGACGTCTTAAAGTATATTGGGTGGTAAATGAGACTCAATGAATGGAAAACGAACACCATTTAAAGGCATAAAATGRCAGCCTGCATGCGTACTTGGGTCCATGCTCCATGGTGCTGTTGAATGCATACATTGTGTACAGTACGCCGTTGATGGGGTAGGATGTGATGGGATGAGGTGTCCTGGACGAGCCATAGTCAAAGCTAARTCGGCTGCAATTTGACGCTTTAGTTTGGTTCTTCTGTTTTGAAACCAGATTTTGATTTGATTGTCTGTGAGGTTAAGAGACTTGGCAAGCTCGTTTCGACGTGTTATTGTCAAATAACGATTTGATTTGAATTCCGATTCCAGTTCTTTGATTTGATGGTTAGTGAAGGCTGTTCGAGTTCTCTTTTTGGTGGAATYCTTTGTGGTTTTGTCGCGATTGCTTTCATCGTCTAAGAAAACAAGAAAATCAAAACGGTCGTTTAGAGCCTTGTAGGTTTATATCCTAGTTGACAGAGATTATTTCCTAGACGAACTGCTCTTGACTGTCTCTAGAGAAAGGCAGTCCAGGCAAATCTTGCTATACACTTAAATCACCTAAAAGGAATTGGGTTCCAACAGATTCTACTTAGTAAAATGGCGTCCATATTGAGTTTCTAGAGTCTAGCCCAAAAAAATAATATGCGTCGTTATCATGGCAGTGGTAACAGTGATAACGATACTGCTATAAGCGAGGACAATCAATTTCGATAAAAATTAACTTTACTTGGTCTGGTATGTGATAATGATTGCGAGATATCCATGTGATATCATTGATAAACAGCAACGAAAACTGGCGCATTTTGAATCAATAACACTAAGGCATTTATTAATCCCACAAGATTTGTGTGTTGTCAATGGAAGCGTAGTAAAACTTGATTTAGTCTAAAATGAATTCAATCGAAAGCGAGTAGATATAGGACCCTTACCATTTACACAAGTTGATTTTGATGGTCTTCCTTGCCTTGTCGTGCTGCTTGGTAAAGAAGACATCCAAGGAAAACACAAAGATGGAGACAACAAAGTTGAACACGACGAACGACACGGTTGATAATGATCGCTTCTGCTTGGTAGATGGTTCGCTGCTCCAAAGTCCGAGTCTTTTTTCAAAAGAGCGTCTATCGAGAATCTTGGAGTGACTTTAGAGTCTATATTACCATCCATGGCAGTAGATAGAGAAGTAGTTACGGACAGACTGTCTTTATTATGTCGTGATCCTGGAGTGTTAACGTGAGCTACTATCAATGCTATCACTAGACGCCGCAACAAAACATCATTAAACTTGTAATTACTTTGCAACTAATCATCTAATTTGATACACTTGGTTTAGCTCTGATAGTGTTTGTTAAATTCTATGGTGTACTTAACTAGTGCCTACAAGGTTCGATAAAGCAACCCTCACCTAAGTCTTAATGGCAGCCATGTGAGTAAAGATAATATAGTGTAGTTTCAAGTAGATTTAATTGTTCATTGACACTTATTCTCATTACACGACAATTAGTTTGTACATTATTAAACCATTAGTACCGATTATCGTATTTTCGTGTTGTAAATGTATTCATAACGTCCTCGTGCAACCACACCTGCCATACACAATATCGTACAAACTCTATCCCAAGCAATACACTCTGTTCATATGATTCGAATTCAGATTTTGTCCAACTTAAGCATTTTTTGTGAAAACTTCTGAAGCTACCGACTTTAATGAAAGATTTTCAAAGACTAATAGAGTCCACAGTTGGGAGTCTGGGCCTATTGTGAGAGAATCACKTCCTGCTGTGCGTCAAGTTTATTACACAAAGACTGACTAACTGTTCAATAAAGTATGCCTTTAACAATGTAAAACGTTCTAGATTAGTGTTATAGCACGATCAAATAACTCTTAAACATTGCAATAAACTTTAGGAAAATATTCTTTTTTCAATACGTGACGTAATCATTACCACTACGCGATGAACAGGCAACAGTACATTCAGCAGTGGTAATGAAGCTCGTGCATCAGTACAAAGGCAAGATGACGACAGTGTTCCGCAGGGCAAACCGGCGCCATTTAGACGGTAGCAACACAGTGTCAATAGGAAGTTATTAAGATTTCATTAAATATCAATCATACTTTGACATGCATAGGAAAAAAGCAACATTTTTTGGAGTAAAAATTTGTTTGAGTAATTTTGTTAAGCTTTTTCTCAAACAACTAATATTTGTTCAGGGGCTATAATCCCATCAYGGCGTCAAAGAAGAAGAAACATTTCAAGTAAAATACCTTTTATTTACAAATCTCAAAAACAATTCACACTGTACAATTTTGCTCTTTTAAAAGTATAAATAATGACATTAGATAATRAATTATCAATTATGATATGGAAAACTGTATAAAAAATCCAAAATCTTTAGCTGAAGCTGGTAAAAAACCCTTAAGTGACAAGAGAAACTTTTCTTTTACGAAGTTCCTCAACGGAGAGAGCCGAGATGAGCGGAAGACTGGTRAGAAGGTCGTTAGTCACGTTACTTCTTAAAGGACAGTCATAAACTACAAGATCTGAATCAGAAGACAGTTTTGTCTTGGAGTCARCTTGTAGTGTAAGCAAAACAACTGGAAGTTCAGTCACGAGACCTGGTCCACCAACAAGACAGCTCCGTTCACTATCCCATGATGCATTGCAAACAGATAATCCTGATACATAAATTCCACTGTCAGGGKTGGTGTTWGGTTCAAATGACATTGGCATTATCTAGACAACAAAGAGAAASAAWATTMAGGAAACAATGAAATTTTATGTCAAAACTTCGAGAGATAAGTAGATTTTAAYTTACCTTTATTTGAAATGACAAYGAATGTGAAGATTTATTTGAAGCTTTCACGTAATCGACCATTAAACACGACAAGAAAGCTTGTTGGTGCGTTAATAAGCCAAGTGAGACAACACAAGGCGTACAMATACTGTACTCATGTACACCWAGAAYACGGTKTRMTATCCACTCTATCCACTGTCCCAAGTCAYAAGGACCTCCACATTTACTAGACCATTGTAAGGGCACTTTACAGTGATATATATCAACGAGTAGACTATGCAGAAATGGTGTGTTTGCTATTTGACCATCAATAGCCATCGATAATAGACCTAATTCCTTCAGTATTTGGTGCAGAAAGTTCGTATAAAACATARCTTCTTTAAGAAAGAACGATGATATGGCTGATRTTGGTTCAGTTTGGTTTGGTTGGCTTGTATCATACACCAACTTCTGKATGGTATTCTTAACCTGGTTAAGTTTTTGAATAACTTCTTCCAGTGAGAATTGAGGCTGYTTTATTTCCATAATTGTTTGGACAGATTTTCTCAGTGAACTAAATTGAAAAGGAACGTTAATAAAACCCCTTTCATAAAATATTACTTGTATGGTATGGAATATAGTGTGCAGATGTTCTGGTGCAGTTTTGTGAAGTGTAATGTTGGTGTGGATTGGGTGTGGTGTGCTTGATGGAGTGGAGTGTGGAGTGGAGTGGTGTGGTGTAGTGTAGCTTCCAGTATAATGTAGTGTGGTGTAGTGTAGTGTAGTGTGGTGGAGTGCATTGGAGTAGCGCGGTGTAGTGTGGTATAGCTTCCAGTATAATGTGTTGTGGTGTGGTGGAGTGAAGTTTAGTGGTGTAGTGTAGTGTAGTGTGGTGTAGCTTCCAGTATAATGTTATGTGATGTGATGTGGTGTGGTGGAGTGAAGTTTAGTGGTGTGGTGTAGTGTAGTGTGTAGCTTCCAGTATAATGTTATGTGATGTGGTGTGGTGTAGTACGGTGAAATGTAGTGTGGTGTGTTGTGGTGTAGCATATTAAACTATGTGTGATACATTAAAACCATCGTAAGGCATATCTTACGTTCCTTACCTACTACGCTGGTGAGAATAATGTGTGATTGAAGTGTGTGCCAAACCCAACTGCTCGATGGATAAACTTTCAGGAAAGCTTTGAAGTGTATCGTCCACAGATTCCTGGTTATCAATTGTTCCCTGGCGAAATAAGGACAGAAAGAATGTTTTTTCATCAAACGAAGCGCATTTTTCACTGGACAGGAGTGTTCTGTACACCTCAATTTTATTAATTATTTGGCACACCATAGAATTCTTTTGCTTTTATAAATCATAAACTTATGTATGCTTGTTTTACGTTTTGCTGTTTTCTCTTCAATTGTTGTGTTTTCATTAAATTCAGGGATTAAAGAGAAGCAAAGCTGCCTTGTTTTATTTTACCTGTAGGGCTTGGCTGTTGGCTAACGACTGTGCTATCGATCTGACGGCCAAGGCGTCCATCTTGTCAAATACATGKCCCGTATAAACGGTCCAAGCTATCATGTCTAATACTTTGACTAGCTGGACTGGTGTATCTTGACTCAATACACATGACAGATGACGTAATAGATCACAACTGCCATGTACATCAGAATAGTTCCTGTATCAGTACAAATAAGTCTTACTCATGGACTGATAAATTGGTTGGTCGAATGAATGAATGACTGTTTGATTGAATAAATAGTCGACTGATTGATTAAAAAGTTGATTGATAGATTAAATAGTTCATTAATAGATTAAATAGTTGACTGATAGATTAAATAGTTCATTAATAGATTAAATAGTTGACTGATAGATTAAATAGTTGACTGATAGATTAAATAGTTGACTGATAGATTAAATAGTTGATTGATAGATGAAATAGTTGACTGATAGATTAAATAGTTGACTGATGGATTAAAAAGTTAATTGATGGATTGATTGGCTGAATAATTGATATAATGAAATGATTAAGATTGGTAACTTTCAATACACACCATTCGTAAGGACAGACAAAMGCACACTGCCCGTGTTGTCGACGATAATGAAGAGTCGAGTGTAGGTACGCCATGACGTATATTGCGTACTGAGGGACTGGGCTCTAAAATCAAAGAACATATTAGAAGAATGGATGGAAAGGGCGGGTCCAGTATTTTATAAATAAGTAGACAATACCTTTATAACATCACTAAATGGCTTGTTCCAGTAKCTCGTCCAGCTATTAATACATCGAGCTCCCACCTCAAACGTTTGCTTCATAATCGATCGGTACGTCGCTTTGGCTTCACAAGCCAACTTAAGCCCGCGTTGTATCAGAACAGCAGGTAATGGTCTCCCTGAGCCAACACGTGTCGTTACGAACAGACGGAACTCTGGGTGAACCGCGCTAAGCCGGTTGTGAGATTGAGGGGTTCGTAGTTCGGGRTCGTCCGTCCAGATGGAGTAGATTTCGTCATCTTCATTATCATCGATCACTTGATATGTGGTKGTAATAACCTTGATTAATAGAAAACAACTTAATTATTGCAGTAATGGGTGCGACGTATCCATAACATAATGGTTCAGTAATTGGTACTTTAAACTACTGCCTACAGCTAACTATATCTTCTTTGTCGGAGTTTTTAACATGAAWTGGATACCTGCAGTGCTTCTATGAATTCCTTGGACCATTCATCRGCTARTTCAGCATTGTGTATCACGACCCAGTAACCCCGTTCCATCCCACAATGCACCGCATGTAAAGCCTGCTCCATGGCCTTGCTTTCTCCAAGGCAAACGGTCATGATCCAACCGCTCTTTTGATGSGCWTGAGCGAGATTAGAAATCTCTTCGTATGGATCTACAAACACACGGTTATTATAACTTATTCCACTARAGTTTCGTGCGGGMAATTAGGGRAAGAAAGGGAAAACGGCACAAATTTCAATGCATTCAATTGACATTTACTAATAGACTGACAAAATAACACCTCATTTGCCAAWTTTTKTATGACTTATCTTAATAAATGCAGTGTATACCTTTGATTGACACCGATGATCCACTGAATACCGTCTCGTGAGAAGGCAGTAAAAATACAATAGGTGTAGCACTGGTGCTAACACTGTACACTTGCTGTATRTCGTACTCAATAGGGTGGATCATACTAGCACCGAGTATGTATAGAACTAGATCCTGACATATCTGATGCACCTGGGAAATAGACATTATTGAAAATACATGTGATGACGATATGGTGGTAATAGGAAAATATTTTTATCAATATTCATCTTACTTGATCTTCTCTGAATACTTTCCATAGCAAGGCTTTTTGGAACACAGACAATCTTGGGTGATTTCCTGGAGTATTTGCTAACAATACCGGGGGTAGCTAAAACATATCATAGATAGTTATTAATAGTAAATAATTACAAATACATGACCTTCAATAAATTGAGAAAAATGAGTAACACTACGTTAATTAAGAGTACAACTGTTTTTATCTGATGGATTGTAAATCCAAAAGTTTAAATAAATTAAATGTGAAAGAAAATAGTTTTACGTTAGGAATATGATTCCCGCGCACAAGCACATAATAGAGTGTACCTCAGTGTACCAAGCTTATTTTGATAAATATACTTATGTATGTAGGTGAGCAAAAAGGGTTATACATACCAAGAAGTACTCCTTCCATTCATCTGAATTATCAATTAAGGATTTACGGATGTTGGATAAGTT